TGTCGGAGAGGTGAATAGCACTGCTTAAAAGACAGTATCTGCGATCCTCTACATGTTTTTGCTTGGACGTTCGAATCAGTGTTCAGAGAGATTTTCAGATCGCTCCGTTTGCGAGCATGGGTGCCACTTCCCTGGCCCGCGTTCGCGTCTTGTTGAACAACGCAAAAATAGCTGAAATCACCGAAGAACAAGGTGATCTGGCAGAAAGGTACGAGCCGGATGTCGACAGATTACTCTGAGAAAAAATCCATCAATAATTGTGTTAAGAGATTTACCTAAAAGCGAGGTTTGACGCTATCAAACATTGAGAACACTGCAAAATATGGTAAATTTTTCGACTAGAGAAAGTATATTGTGATTAATGTAGTGCGCGAGCAACTCAGTGATTATCTTTTGGTGGGCTAAATTAATTCGCAAGCGAGTTCTTGTCTGTCGTGGTTTCGCGGCTCCTTCGGCCAAGCGAATCCACTGTCAAGGAGAAGCTACTCTGACCGATCCTGGTTCTGTTGCAGAGCGCTGAGTGCTTGGCGCAGTGGCGATAACTCGATGCTTCAGCTGCAAAAGCTGATCGCGACGATCGTGCCGAGTCGTTCCTTCGCTGGCGAGGAAGATTCGGTGATGCACTGAGCGCTACATGCCGGACTCGATCCTCGGATTGCTAGCCAACGGGGCGATATTATTGTGCTCACAGGCTTTCATCCCACTCATTGATGTATATGTGTAGGTGTCTTATTTTAGTTTTATTGACGCTTGCTGAAATCTCTCAATATTTCTTTTCAAATATTTTGGCACATTCACTTGGAATTCTACTTATATTGTACAAACGTATATAAAGTTCTAAGAAGTAAATTCTCACTGTTCTTGGGAATCAACTCAAATAGTTTTATCTAAATAATAGTGGTTAGTCTATGATGTCAACAATCGGTTATCGCGCAGATTCCTTAGCCCACATTATATAAGAGTAGGATAACCAAAGTTGAATGGAAAAGGAGAAAAATAGCCACCAGTTACCACGAAGTGTTCGAAGTTGTCCCAGAAGCGGATTTTATGAGATTTGTACTTAAACTTGAGTAAACGATATTCCCTCAGCGAAAAAGCAAACGTGAAAACCCAAAGAAGGTCAAGTTAAACTCTCTTGTGCAACAAAAGCGAGCAGAAATTCTAAGCTTGTCCATACAAAGATGGAATCCCTCATCATTAGAGCATGGATCTACGAGGTTCAGATTTGAGAAAAAGACATCACTGGTAAACTTTTCTAGAATCCAAGTCTACTACAGTTCTTTCAAAATTGACATTTAGTTGATCAAGTTCGTAGTTCAACGTTTTGCTATTTATCACAAGCTTAAAATGATGAAATATAGAAATCACCCAACTCATGGTAATCGGCAGATATCTTTAAATCGACTTTCATTGGAGCTCGACTGAATTAATCAGTACCGGCCTTGATTTTTAGGCTAATAGGAGATTGGTTAAAAAAAATCATTTATTTGACTAACGTATTGACGTCTTCCTCTCTCTCAGAGCCGGATAGGTCCAAGTCTGCGATCCAGAGATGGTCGTCCTCCCGATGTTGTTGTTCGTTCAAATGAGGAGTCTCACTCGATCGTAGGATGCGTTTCTGCAAAAAATGCAGATCATATTGAAAGGTCGCAACAGATCAACATCCGTCCTCTGTAAGAGGATACCGTCGAATGAAATTCTCCACTCGGTCGGTGCTTCATTCAGCGGATTCAACTCGGTGTGACAACGGGCAACCACATTGCGGGGTCGACCAGCTATAGATCATCGGATCGAATCAATCCATCAATGAAAAAGACGAAGACGTGGAAACGTTAGCCAAATAAGTCTTTTTTGATCATTCTAGTGCTAACTTAATGATCGAAGAAGATATCAGCAGATAAGCAAAATGTAGAGAACGCTTCAACGATGGTGTGCATTGTTTACAACCAAATGTGGTGACGCCGCTTAACGGAATGGGCTATAAAGGAGTCATTTTCTTTGTGATGGTTTGTTTTAGAGCACAGAGTTTTTTCCTTAATAGCGTACATGCCGTTCATACACATATCCTTTGTGTTTACATCCCTGATTTCATCTAGTTATCGAAAGATTCATTTTCTGAAAAACAATCCCTTCATAGAAATTCAAAATTAGGCGTCGTTCCATGAGGCGGACACGCTGAAAATCGGGCGTAGGTTATATGTCAACTACAAGTAATGTTTATTTGACTAAAAATCGTTGCATTTTAAGGCTGTATACCGTATTTGCTTTGGAGGATAGTAAAATCCTGATTTGCCTAGTTCGTAAGTCACTTGATCTGAAATGTTGCTGAAGAGATAAACCTATAACACCACCGTGTTTCCGTTTTTCAGCCGGTTTTTCGTTCTGCCAAATTTCTTTCTCTTCATTCCGAAAGATTATCGCAAGGGAACTGTGTTAGCATAGAAAATTTTAGTCCACAACGAGCTGGAAGCTCGTGCCTGCTGTTTCTACGAATTTCGAACTACAATTATGGCGTATGGCAGGTTGTGTCTCATCGCTGGGCGAGACCAGAACTAGTCGACATTGCCAAGCAACAAGCGATTCTGTCGATCTTTGTGTGATAACACCTATAAAGATTCGTTCTTAGTAGTTGAGACAGTTTACATTCGTACAGTCTGGATCGCGTATCGTGCTTCATTACACGAGCTATAATGACATGGTTCGACTGCATAATACAGATAGTTTTATTCATTTTTGATATGCTTCTTCCGAGACCCCTCAGAACGACGATTTCGCGCTTTAATTTTCATCACGGGATCAGCGAACGTCGCGGGTTTGCCCCGCTACTACTACTCTCTTGACATATTGTCGAACGTGTATCTGCCTTTCGTGTATATAAGCGTGTGGCCTAACACACATTCTTAAGTTTCCCATTCGGTAGTCTTCATCTTGCAAACCCACACCTCACATGCGATCGTCGAACTGCCACATACAAATCACACTACTCTTCTTATCATCCAACTTTTCATTCGCCTAGAAATCGACTTCTGAAATCATACTTGAAGATAAAATATCTATATAATCCACCTTCCTATGTACGACCGTTTCTGCTTTTTAACGTTTTTCTTCATTTTTCATTGTTCTAAAGGCTTTGTTGGCACCTGTAGCGCACTAGCTAAAGCTTCGCTGCAATAATACATGCTTATTGATTCGCTATCACGTCCTAGGCTAACAAATCCTTGACATGTTTTATTCTACTGCTTCAGAGGGTTAAAACAATGACTGGTGCGTCCATAGGCTTCAGGAAATAATTTTGCAGAGCTAGTATATTTTCCACCATATTTACAATGCTTGATGCAGTTGAAGTAAGGCGCATTTCTAGGGACTTAATCAGCACCCTTTCTTTTTTATCCTTAACGAAAGTGGACGTGAATGCAAGAAAAGTATTCTTATTAGTTTCCTCTACTTATAGAAAACTTAGGGAACGTTTCACGCTTTAAGAACTTTGAGGACCTGTCATTTAATCCTTTTCTCTTCCAGGAGCAGCCGATTTCAAGTGAACACCTAGGAGATGGCATTCGTCCTTCTTGCTTTGGCCGCGATCTGCACCGTTATTCATGCAAGGACACCATGTGGATTGCTCACAGTCTGTGCCGTGCAGAAATGTTTGGATACCGGTAGGCTTTGTGATGTGAGAATTTCGTCACTAGCGTTTCCTGTAGTAAAGACAGGAACGGTGAAGTGTTCGCGATGGTGATGGTTATGAAAAGATGGGATTGCAAAGGCCTACTGATTACTGTCTCCTTGCGATTAAATGAAGAGATGAAGCGCACAGTTAACATTTTAACGCATTACGACTGAAAACCATTGTGATGTAAAAATTTCTGCTTGTTCTGTCGAATAGACACCGAAGACTTCTAAACCTTCCACCATATTCGCCTTTTTGTTTCAGTTGTTGCTGTAATCTGATTATTGCGTAGTTGCTTGTCTTCAACTGTTGACGGAACTATTACTAACCGGTTGTTTTTTCGCGAAGTCATCGAACACCAGCAAATTCGAGGAAAACTTATGTAAAAAAAGAATGGGAAAATGGATGTGACTTTTGTAATACGTTATAGAAAGAAATGAATCCAGTTCGTCCTCTACATATTCACCATGAGATAATGGTATTCAGCATGTTTTCTCCTTCTACCAAAACTGTTGTCCAATGAATCCATACAGATTCTAGTCATTTAGTTTGTTGTGAAGACGTCAACAGCTTGTTCTCGTGCATTTTGCCGATATGGAATCCAATAGCGCCTTAGATGAACTGTTCAGGAGTCCCCTCTATAACAGACTCGTGGAAAATTGCAATGAAAACCAGAACAGCACTAGGGACTGTGCTGCTTTCGCCTAATGGAATAAACATATTAAAAAGCAATCCGACTGAGATGCTCGTTAAAACTCTTCAGCTACCGCTATCACCACGGAAGGATCTTTCGAAATCATGGGTAATCGTTGTCCATTCCCAAAACAAGTGGACTGCTCTCTTTCAGAAACTGTTACTAAATTCACCTGAAATCAAGAAATTCTTTCCAAAAGATTTCGCCTTCAAAAACTAGTCTCAGAAAATTGCTAACCAAATTTTGTAGTGTTGTAATGTGTTTTCTTTTAATTGTTGAGGTGGTACGAGATCGTTAGAAATGTTTCCTTGACTTTCACCCATTCTGAGAATTTCTCGAATACTGTGTTGTAGTTCTCAACAATCCTATGAAAGGTAGCCAATAAAGTTGACAGGGTGGGCGAGAAACGACATTCTGAACGATGTCACACTTTTATGACCTATCCGCTATAGGATACATGGTCCTCATTTACTTCTCTCATACATTAAGTTTCCTGCATTTTCCTTTCTTTTGAGCTCATATTATGGAGTAATCCTTAGATTATTGCAGATATGGTTCTACAGCTGGTGAAGAATTCGTCGAGATCCGAGGTTTTCGGTGCGATAGTTGAGAAGTGCGTGTTTTAGGCGGGATGTTAATAGACTCGTGACCATGGCAGTTCTCCCACATTTCTCTTCTAGGTTTGACATGGTGTGCATCGCCGCCAAATGCAGCAACGAGTGTCAAGCCTGTAAAGAATGCCACTATGCCATCGAACAAATGAGTGCACTCGCGCAAGGCGAACCGACCTGTGCGTTACTCCTAACGACTTCTCCGTATGGTTTTCCTTCCAGGAGATTTTAGAGGAAATTTCAGCCGGCTTATGCCCAAAGTTGGAAAGTTGTGTGCAAAGTTGTCTACAAGCCGGCAATCTTTCTATGGTAAGCTTGTTATTCGTTTTAGTACCGTCTTTAAGCGTGACTGTAAGGAATTAGCAAATCAGCCAACTCGTTTTATTACATTATTGAAAACTCGAAAGACCGACTTTCTATGAACCTCGGCATAGATAGTTGATATATTTATTTATGTGATCTTATAACTGTACCAACCTCGCGTCAGCTTAAGAAGATCAGTTTATAAGATCACATAAATAAATATATCAACATTATTGAAAATTTTGTGAAGCAGTAAGTACTATCCTATGTACTAAAAGTGAGTAAGATACCGCGGATCTCCAATCGCTTTGGAATGACATAGTTCGGAGAAACGTCTTTTGTTCATTGTAAACTCAAGATTTCTGAATCTCTCATTTGAGTGGGCGGATTGTGAATGTTAGTTGAAGTTTCGCTGGTTTCGTGCAGAGCTAAGAATGCGCCCTTGTTCGTGCGGGCGATTCTCCATCACGTAGTCAGTTAGTCACCCTTCTCGATTTCCGATTATCGCTTGCGTTGCGAGGCGCTGTAACGTACACTGCTACGACGGCGATTGTTCGTCGTGCAGAACGATCTCGAAGCGGATGTTCACCATCATCTGCCAACAAACCGACATGCCAAAACTGCCCCACATACAATACACAGGTACGACGTTGTAACCCGCTTTCTCTCCCTCTCGCGCTGCCACAATCGCAACTTTTCAGGCACTTGCCCGCACCTCTTCAATGAGTTGGCCGACGAATATGTGGCTCAGAGAAAACGCATCGTCGCCTGAAGTTGAACGCATTGATCTCACAGTTGTTGTTCAAAGCTGTTACCGTGTTTTACTTGATGTATTGGAGAAAGGTTAAATGATCAATGTCATATATACAGAAGCTAAGGTACAAGGAAAGATCATCGTTGAACGACACTCACATATGGACTTTTACTTGATAAACTTTGTCCCTTCACAACAGTAACTTCATTAGCTGGAAGAAGCAAAAAGAAAACAGTAGTGATTCCAAAGAGTGCTCTCCCGAATTAATTTCTATCATACTGCACGAGAGCTGATTGGGCGAGCCAACTTAACCAGTCACGATTGGGTTGAACTTTGATAGTTTCATATAATTCTTGTGATTTAAACGCATCGTAATCACTTCTACGTCAACGTTAACTGAATAGAATTACTATTAAGATCAATAAACAAAAGATCCTAATGCAGTAAGTTTCGTGGAATCAGACCAGCTCACCCATTGCATTCTTAGACTTAAAAAAACAATAACGTAACAAGCTCATGTCATCGGAATTAGTTAACAGTCATAACAACATGGTGCGAATAAAATGGTAGCACGATATGTCTAACAGGAGCGAATCACAAAAACGGGTCAACAACCACTATCAACAGAAGTTCGGTTCCGAAACGAAGGCACTTCCCAGCAATGGCGCTTCGATGGGACCAGAGCAACCTCCGCATGGTACGCCGAACACTCGACCGGCCAGCTTATAGCCATCCGGAAGATCGAACTTCGCCGGCAGATCCTCGAACCGCACCAATTTCTTTGGATTTGAATGCAGCTCAGCCATTTCGGTCAAATCATTGGCGTCCAGCGAAAAATCAAACACCTGCAATAAGATAACAGTTGAGGAAAATAGGAATTACGGATGATTTATAAGTATTTCGTGATATTTCTTAACACACCTTAAATTTAAACAAGGATTCTAACTTATCAAACATAGCTTCAACCAAAAAGCATTAATCATACATCTAAACAAGTAAGTCGGGCGTTAGTAATAAACATTCTTTTCGGCACATTTCCTGTGCGCAATGACCCAGTATATGGATTTGTTCTTTTTTTCTGAAAATTTGCTTGTGAGTAACTTGAGAGGAGCTCTTGCAGTTCGAGCATTTGCTGAAGCTTTTGTGATGTCCTCTCCTTTTCGGCTTTGGGTCGCATCTTCACACCGATGTCTTTGGCCCCTCAGACCTACCAAAGCTCTACTGTGCAGGGAAAACTTTAGGAGACGCACTACCCAAATTGAGAAATTTTACTTATAACAAAAAAAAATTAGGGCGATGAATTCTGCAAAACAACCGGGGCAAACAGGATTAAGTGTAACTAAACAGTTCAGATCCTCAGAAAGTACACCATTTTTGAGATCCTGGGAAAAATAGATCGAAGGTGAAGTATAGACAGGCCCGTCACATGATAACAAAGATTTATGATGGATCGTACAGAAAACGGTAGTGTGGATCCATGAGTACGAATGTTTCCCTAATATGGTAACGTATAAAACGGAGGCACGTGTACAGTACGTCACATCAACCAGTTCCATTTGCAGCTGGGAATGATCCATGGATTACAGGATAATAATCGTTCCCTTCTCTCGTTTACTATATCACTTCTCACTAAATTATTGCTACTTTACTATGCCTAATTTATGAATTAGGTTTTAGCTGAGAAAAAGGCGAAACGAAGGACCCACACAGCGTTGCGCTGAACGCGTTAGCCTCCGGAATGGGTAATGCTCGTTCGTTCCCCACCGCAGACACCTGTGGTCCGGAGTTTTGCAAATATCTCAGCATTGTTGTGGCTAAAAAGTTAATCGACTACAACCCCAGATCAACTGAGGTCACTGCCGACTTGGACTCCCCAGATCAATCTCATTGATGGATACCTGTTGATGGCACTGATCAATAGATCTAGCTACGAGACAGGCGAAACGAAGGACCCACATGGTGTGGTGGTGAACGCGTTAGTCGCCGGAAAGTGATAGCGCGTTCGTTTCCCACTGCAGACGCCTGTGGTCCAGAGTTTTGCAAATATCTCAGCATCATTGTGGTTGTACCACACATGATACCCTGCAGTGAAAAACTGCAATAGGCGGTAAATAAAAAGTTAACATTGAAATCATTTAGTTTAGTTTTGACCTTTTCTAATATTTATTCATGAAAACAAGGATGTACGTGGAAACCTCATACAATAGATAAAAATAATAGTGTTTGCTTTCTTTTCTACCTTACTTCTTTCACTCGGCTTTCGCTTCATCGACATTGGGATTAGTTGGCTTCTAAGATATCTAGGAAGATATTGAATGAAGAAATCAATTTTTCGCGATACCAGGCTCAGAATTTTACAAATTTAGCAGCTCGACTGCATTCTCTTTGTTTTTTCCGAAATATTTGTGATATGACAACTTCAAACCATGGTTCACTCACGTTTCTGTTTTCAGCAATGCGACTTTTTTCCGTGCTCTTCGGAATCACTGGAACATTGTGTTCAAGCGACCAACGTAGGCAGATCTGCGCCGGTGTCTTACCATACTTCTCGCTCAGCGACAGCAGCACGTCCGAATCAAGGAATCGGCCCTTTGCGATCGGACAGTAACCCTCAAACGGTGCATCATTTAGTCATGCAGGCTAGTTGGGAAACGTTTACACAATCAATTAATTGGATATTGTATGGATAACTTGCGAACATTGACTTGTGTCTCTCACTGAAAAGCCGGCGCAAGCTTTACTTAGACCAAGGTGTACAGTGGCTAACACATGCCTGGCTGCATCTGTTCGAGACAGCACACCTTTTTTCGATAGCATTTGCATTACTAACGCAACATTTAGGGATTAAGAATCCGTAACGAAGCAGTTCAGCGAAGGGACGAGGTTAGTGCACCAACCGTATATAAGATGTCGTTGTCCGCACAGAAACAGCGCAGAGCTGCAGGATTGTACCATGGATGGAATTCGCATTGATTCACGTGAGGTTTCATGCTACAGTACTCGAGCAGTTCGGTTAAATCATCTTCGGAATAGTTACTAACACCAATCGCGCGAATTCGACCTGGAATAGAGACAAGACTTTTTAAAACGCTCTATGTCCAAATGAAGAATTCATAACAACCTTCATCGTAGAGCAATTCCAGTTGCCGCCAAGTGTCCTCCAACACAGATCGAGAGTTCCCGAGAGAATCCGGAACCACAGGGAAATGTGTCATGTACAGATCTAAAGCTCTTAATTATCTACACGAATGAAATGAATAATGCGCAATTTGGAAATTTTCACGGATTGCATTCACCTATGTAATCAGTTTGAAGTTTCCTGCAAGACAATTCGAATGCGTTCCTCGTACCCGAGCCAAAGTCGGTTGGCCACAGCTTTGAACACAGGAATAAAAATGACCGTGACACTCCCGACTGCTGAACGCGAATGCCATTATTTATGAACAATTTCAATACAACAGATTGAAATAGTTAACAAAATGTTCAATCTATCACCGAGAACTCAATTTATACTTAAAGTACTTCAAGGTAGCTGGCACTAGTTCAAAAAATTAAAAAAGAGGTATTACGAAATATGGTGGCTCAAGCATTTCATTGGCGAGACATTTTTTTCTTGTCATTTGTAAACACGGGTTTTCTATGGCACGCTCGTTGCGACTCAAAATCGATCAATTACTACTTTTCGTTGAGGAAGGTAGAATACAATTTTAGGTGGTGGACAGATGGTTGTTCAGCTGAGACGTCACAGTGACACACAGTGAAGCAAACTACTTGTCGGTTTCCTAGAAGCTCGTCAAAAAGTTAGAATATTAGAAGATTAGTTTTAATGGGAACCTCGTAGTGAAATTCCGAAATGAATGCGAATCAAGGAGAACGCATACCTTCCAGGCGAACCCTAGCTCACGTTCAACACCATACCGCCTTGCCGTATCAATCATGCGATATCCACAGTTACGAAGAGCATGAATGACGACATCATGGTGGTAGCCTCCAGAATGAGTTGTACCTGGATTATTCGAGTAATTATCAGCAGTCATTATGTCTCTTGTTCGAATCAGTACAAAAATCACTCAGAAATCTTTTCTTTGTAAATTTTCATTCCATCGGCAGAAATTGAATACGCATCAGCATGAGTGAAAACATGTCATTTTGAAAATGTATACAGTATGAACACAAAGACATGGAATATTGATTAAAAAGAAACCGTCAAAGTTAAATTAGCCAAAGCTGCCGTTATTTTCAAACAACCTATTGCTAAAGGATTAAGCCTGAGGCTCTCAACGTCGACGTATTACTGATAGATGTGCCGTGCTTGCTGCTTCATTAAGCATCGTAGAAGAGACTGTATGTTTATTTGTCTTAAGTTTCTAGGTGTTGCCCATGGATCACGTCATTTTTATCTCCCCACAGTAACCCGGCACCAATTTCCTACTCCGTAGAGGTGGTAAGTTTGATTGGTCTGAGTGTGGGATCGAACCAAAAACCTTGTTTGTATTGCAGACATTCCTTACCACTCAACCATTCCTTTATGTGTGCACACACACACACACACACACACACACACACACACACACACACACACACACACACACACACACGTATAAAGGATAAAGGATAAAGCTCTCGGCGTTCATCAATCCCTGAAGGATGCGCCATGCATTCGACTTCAATAAGCATCGTTAGAGGTAATTAGATGCACATCTGACCTTTAAAATGACTCGCAGTGGTCAACCAATGTATTGAGCCAGTGTTCCTATCCTCCCAGATAAGTCTGGTACCAATTTTCCCAACCCGGAGGGATGGAATACTTGGTGAGTCTTGAGCGCGGTGATCGATCCTATGTGTATTGCAGAGCGCTTCCCACCGCTGCGCTACATGCACTCACATTTATATATATATAAACATAAAGAACGAATAAAATCGACCTTTTTGATAGCAAAGATTGATTTATTTAGCCCTTCGAGCGCCTAGGATACGCTGCGTTCATGTCTCTGTAGCAATCGATAAAACAAATCTACGTCATCTTGTAGCTAAAATAACTGCGGTAATAAAAAAAATGTCATGATAATTAACACATAGCTGACCCTTTTGGTTGAGTTAGTCGAACAGAGCGCAGAAACATAATAGTTCAGTTTAAGACACCATGCAATACACGCATAATCCCTGCTTTGATCTACCAGTGCAGAAAAGTAGGCTGCCATTCTTCCTGGGTTCGTATCTTGGTAGTAGACTTATCTGGGAAAAGCTCTTTCATTCATTCCTTTCTTTTCTACAAAGTTCGGGAATAAGATGTCGTGTTAAACTGGGAGCTCCTTATCAAAGCCGTCCGAAATTTCAAGACATCAGCTTTCAACGCCGGCATTCAACCATATTCACGAAAAAGACATTTCGTCAAGAGACCACCAAATCCTACATATATATACATATATATATATATATATATATATATAACCCTAATCCTCCGTAGATGAAACATGTGAAACAACGAACAGAATGAAAGAAGTGCTGGGAACGGCACGATATTTGAAGACGAGCCATATAAAAAAACAGTCGAAAATGGAGGATCCGGCCAGATGGTGGACATCTGCAGTTCGCCGCAATACGTGACACAGAAGCATCCACTTGCCACTTTAAGTCGATAAACACTGAGTAGGGAATGCCAACGATGATAGAAGAAAATATATCTTTTCCTGAAGTAAAACTGGATCGAAATGAACCGTCGTACTAGGAGCGGTCAGCACCTTACGAATCCAGACTGACACAGATCCTGTTTCGACAAATCCTATTAAGTAACCTTTTTCAGTATTTCCTGAAAATACTACACCTGGATCCATGGACCCATCCTTACACAAGTTGATCTCACATTCTACTCGGCACTATTCATCGGTAGTTACTGTAGAACTGTACTAATACTGATATCATTGGAATAACTGCTTGACGTTCGAGTAATGACGCTATGTCAGCTGCCTCATAATTAGATGAGTCGGACAATTGAGCAGGAACGCTTGCTATCCAACGAATAACAGCGAATGCTTTGAAGAGCTCAAGCCCCATTGTTTCTTTTAAATCTCTTATTTCATTAACTGGGTAGAATAATACGGTACTGCTTCACGTGGTCGAAGTATTGGAATGTACTTCAATTTTCGTTACAGACAACTTTCACGGATCTCCTTAGTATAGAGATCCCTTGCTGGTTAGCCGCGAGGCGCGTCCTCAGGTGGCGCATAGAGGAATCGCGAACTAAAGCGACCATTGGTTCCCTGAGACGCAAGTGGTTCTAGGGAATGAACTCACTGTTTTGCTGCAACGACTTGGTAAATAC